GTGAATCAGCTGTTGCAGTTGTGATGTTGGTCGATTCTTGTTGAATTATGATTTATGTTGAAAATTTTGTTGCTGTAAATTACTGAATAATATGTTGACTTGAGAGTCAACAAATCAGCCCTTTTGTGAGTTATTGGCAATTTTGTGTTTTGATACTCGTTTCCTGCTGTGCATTTCAGGAGTTTGACTTGTTCAATTGACGAGGTCTGTAATTCAAGATTTTTCAAGACTCGATTTTTATTGTACAATATTATCAGGGTGTTTAACATTTTTCTTCTTTTGGTTTTTGGGTTCTGCTATGTTTAGATGATTTTTACTTTGAATTTCCAGATTTCAGCCGAACTCTTTAGGTCTTGGCGAATTTGTACATCCTATTTTTTTTCCCTTAGGTCGCTATGCTTTCATTTTTCAGTGATGGTTAGAGAATTTGATAGTATAGGTTATAAGTGGGAGATGAGATTTGTCATCAGTCCAAATTCAACATCACTTTATTGTTAATGATTATATTGGTTTGATATGATACTCTATATATAGATAATCATTCACTTTAAGTATTATTAGACTTTAAGTATATATAGTTATAAGTGTGAATTATTCACTTTAAGGATTATTAGACTGCAGTGATACGAGATGTTGTTTTATATTATTGATTTTATGAATAATTTATGCCAAGGATCCAATTTCATCACATCATCAAGATGAGACGTCTTTTGCATAGTACGAATTTTATGAATTATCCAACTAAAGCATTATGTTGCTCTGATACCAGTGGTTTCATATAACCAAGCAATTTCATTGATTTATGAGTTTTATAACTGATTTTGAATGATTATGTTCTTTCCCCTCTCAAGGATGTTTGTTAAGTGGCTGTGCTGAGATGTGAGTGTAAAAGTTCTTATCAATGCATATATGTGAGTGTAAATTATTCTATCCTTTTTTCCAAAGTAGATTGATTTTTTGTACTTATTTGAATTGCATGCACAGGCTGAACGTGGTTTGGATGTAATATGTGCCATTATTGTGGTGCGAAGCTTACCGAATTGAGTAACTGCACTGAGAAGGAAAATGGACATGCTTTTGTGGAATTAAGTAGCGAGCACTTTGTCGAGTCTTGCAAGCTTTGTGCTGAAAAGAATTATCAAAACGCTAAGAATCAAGAAAATTCAAGTTCTTTCACAATGCAATCAAGTAGTTCCACTGCCACATTAAGTAGCAGTGGAAGTTCCCTATCAAGCTGTGGTAATCTTGTTTTCCCCCATCAATATTCTCTCTCTCTCTCTCTCTCTCTCTCTCTGTGTTCTATCACTAATAGCTTTGTTTTTCAGGTGATAGCCCAGTTGATGCGAACTTTGGTAACCGGTATAAAGTTCACCTCTTTATGCTATTTTGTTTGTTAAAAAAGAATATTATATAGCTTGTTTGGTTTTGAATTCAAATTTCACTTTCAGTTGTCATTTTCTCAAGCAAAATTTGCGATTATATTAGTTTTTATGTGAAAGAGAAAATATGTTTGGATGAAAGGTTTTGTTTAGTTGTAAATCGTGTTTCGTTTTGCGTTTAAACATATTGTGAGGCTTTGATAACTGAAAAGGCGCTCTTTTGGAAAGAAGCCCCGACATGCCTACACTTTTACCTTTTGATTTTTGAAGTACCTTCTATACTTCCAACTTCTTAGCAAAGCTTATCTTTCTCATTCATTCCTATCAGGCGAGACGTGGAGGACAGCAGCACAGAGAGCAGTATTCATGAGCATCACATTTCATCGGGAAATGGTTTTCATGTATCTAACGATACATCTAAACACGATGCCAAGGAAATTAGTGACACTGAAAGCGTGGGTCCCACTTCTTCTCCCGATGATGAAGTGGATGACGAATTTTGGCTGCCTCCCGAGCCAGAAGACAGTGAAGATGACTTAACCGGGAGCATATCGAACTACGAGGATGATGATGACGAGTGTGGCGATTGGGCCAAAACGAGCTCTTTGAGCAACTTTGAAGATGAAGGGAGTGGAAGTTACAGGCACAAGGAGGGAAAAAGTAAAGCTATGGAGGATGTTAAGAATGGGAAGTTTAAGGCCCTCGTGAGTCAATTGATAAAATCGGTGGGTATTGATGATCATTTTGTAGATGAAGGTGAGAATTGGGTTGATATAGTGACTGCTTTGTCTTGGGAGGCAGCCGCTTTTGTAAAACCGGACTCACACGAGGGTAAGGCAATGGATCCTGATGGGTATGTGAAGATTAAATGTGTGGCGACTGGTTATCGAACTCAAAGGTAATGATAATTTTGGGACAATTACAAAAGATTAAACTCCTGATTCATTTATGCTTTAATATGAACACAGCTACTTGCTAGAAATTTGAAGGTTGACTCAGTACAAGCTCTATTGAGCTCCTCTGATATGGCTCGTGAAAGTTACTGATTCACTCACACACTCGCCCACTTGTTAGATCATTAGCAGGATATCTTGTTATATAGATCCATAATTCGGTTTCTTTGAACAAAATGGAATACTCATGGTAACATTTTGAAAGTTTTTTTTTTTTTTTTTTNTTTTTTTTTTTTTTTTTTCTTAAATACATTATAGATGTTAATAGATATATCATGTGTTCGAGAAATACATTATTTTGGTTTCTGTCATAAATTGAAGAATGGCTTAACTTAGACTTAAAGTGTTACAAACACCCTCAAGGCTTAAAGTGAAATTTAGACTTTTAACAGTCGACCTCTTTCTCCCTTTAGTTTGTGTGTGTATTTTGACTTATAAATCCTATTTAATGATATGATGCAGTCAACTGATCAAAGGGCTGGTATTCAAAAAGCATGCTGCCCACAAGCACATGCCGACAAAGTACAAAAACCCCAGATTGTTGCTAATCCACGGCTCACTTGATCTTTCTTCTGGTGGATTGTCATCATTCCAATCAATGCAGCAGGTGAAATGAAAAAAAAAAAAATGTCTCCCTTTATTCGATCCAAACGTGCCAAATATATCCG